TGAATTGCATACTTTTTTCTGTACTGCAACTTAAATTCAAATTCATTTTATGTGTAAGAATTTAGCCCATGTCCGTCTGTCCGTCTGTCTGTCTGTCTGTCTGTTTGTATGCAATCTAGTCTCTCAGTTTTCGAGATATCCGGATCAAATTTGGTAGGTGGATGTATTTTTATAATGTATTAATCATTTGTCGGAACCGGAAGAATCGGACCACTATAACATATAGCTCCCATACAACTGATTGTTCAGATATGAGATTTTTCGTTATAACTTCTCCATTTATGCAGCTACGAACATAAAATTTTGCAGTACTTGCACCCATTATCAACAGAATACTTACAGTGAAAATTACAAAGATCGGGTCACTATAACCTATAGCTCCCATACAACTGATTGTTCAGATATAAAATTTTTCGTTATAACTCCTCCATTTATATAGCTAGGAACATGAAATTCCGCACTATTTTCAATAATTATCAACAGAAAACTTACAGTGAAAATTAAAAAAAAAAGATCGGGTAACTATAACCTATAGCTCCCATACAACTGATTGTTCAGATATGAAATTTTTCGTTATAATTCATCCATTTATGTAGCTAGGACCATGAAATTTCGCGCTGTTTTCACTCATTATCAACAGAAAACTTACAGTGAAAATAACAAAGATCGGGTCACTATAACCTGCAGCCCCCATACAGCTGATTGTTCAGATATGAGGTTTTTTATCATAACTCCTCCATTTATGCAGCTAGGAACATGAAATTTCGCACCATTTTTGCTCATTATCAACGGAATACTTACAGTGAAAATAACAAGGATCGGGTGACTATAACATATATGTATCTTCCATACATCTGATTGTTCAGATATGGGATTTTACTGTAAAACTCCTTTATTTGAACAGCTAAAACCGATAAATTTCGTAAGATAATTTATAAATAATAATACAAAGTCTACTGAGAAAATCGTCAAAGTCTATGCTGTATAAGCTTTATCTCCTATAGCACTGATTGTTCAGATACCAGTTTTTACCATATATCTCCTTTATGTAGGAAACTAAACCCAATAAATTGTGTTACCGGTTTACATACCGATCACATAGCAGTGAAAATCACTTAGATTGGTGCCATATAAAGTATATCTTCCATACCTCTGATTGTTTAGATGCGATTTTTTATATAAGTATGTAACTCCTCTAGCGATGTATGCAGATGTATTCAAAAGCAGTAATCTGTCAAAGTAAAATTTGCAGATGTTCATGAAAGGTATGGAGCCTTCGGCATAGCCGAAGACAGCGCTGCTCTTACTTGTTTTTTACTAATGTATACGCATTTTTATACCCGAGGGCACTTGTGCACAAGGGTATTATAACTTTGTTCACATAACGGTTGTTTGTAACAGGCAAAACGAATCGAGATAGATATAGACAAATGTATACATAAATGATCAGAATGAAAAGAGAAATCGATTAAGCGGTGACTGTCTGTCCGTCCGTCCGTCCGTCCGTCCGTCCGTCTGTGCACACGATAACTCGAGTAAAAATTGAGATATCTTAACGAAACTTGGTACGTGAACTTCTTTTGGGCGTGGGACGGATGGTATTGAAAATGGGCGAAATCGGATAATAACCACGTCTACCTCCCATATAACGGTAATTTTAAGAAATACGAAAACTGCGATATTTTAGTAACTACTGAAGATAATTCACTCAAAATTGATATTTGCAATGAGTTTTAGACGAAAAATAAGAATATTACAAAATTTTGGCAAATGGGCGTAGCCACACGCACTTATGGTTACATGTGTATATCTTGGTAACCGCTACACCAATTTCTTCCAAACTTGGCACAGTTGTTGGTCCTGGTACAGCATACCAACTGGCCGAAAATTTTTAAAATCGGACAATAACCACGCCCACATCCCATATAACGGTAATTTCGAGAAATATGAAATCCTCGATAAATCAGTAAATAGATATTAAAGCTAATTTATTCACAATCGATGATTGCAACAATTCTTTACCAAGAAATACGTTTATGACAAAATTTTGGAAAATGGGCGTAGCACCGCCCACTTGTGATCACATATATGTATCTCGCTAACCGTTCTAGCAATTTGTACCAAGCTCAGTATGGTTATTGTGCTTGCCACATAAAAGCAAACCGTTGAAAATTGTTGAAATCGGACTAAAATTGAGGCCGCTTTTCATATAACGGTAAATTTCAGATATGCTTGAAATTTCAATATTTCGAAATTTAATGACGCTAATTTACTTAAAATGTATACACCCCGCCTTATCATGTAGCGGTAGCTTTCGGAAAGGTGGAAAACATATATTTAATACTTGCGCCGGGTATTTAATGTTCGGCTCCGCCCGAACTTAGACTTTCTTACTTGTTTTTTTTTTTTAACGATTGCTACAACTCAACTTCAATAGTTTTCAATATTCATGTGCTACCCGACCACAGCCGTCACCACTACGACCATAACCGCAGTCGCCAAAATCCTAACCAGAGAATGACCAACAGCGACAGCCGTGGCGACAGTGAAAAAATATTTATTTAATTAAGAAAATATGCAGCATTTAATATACTTTTTTTCACTTCATGTTCCATAATGCTCTTACAAGCGTACATATGTAGATATGTACTTAACTATTTTTTTTATTGCTGGCTTTTTATTTGTCTGCTTGGTGTTCTTGCTGCGGTCGTGATTGTTGCTAGGCATACTTATTGAGCAATCGATTGCCAATTATTTGAATTCATAAATATTATTAGTGTTGCCATTTTATTGACTTTATTATTTTATACTTAGCGGTAAAATTTAGAATTCGGTGACAGGCGTGATTTTAGTGTTTATTTAGGAGCTCTTAGCTAGTTTTTAGCGATTTTATTCGGAGTGATCGCAATTGTTAACGTTTACATTTGGCACTGCAAAAAATCGATGACACTGAAACGCTGTTTGCTATTACACATCTTTTAAGGTTTGATGTTTTTCGCATTTCCAACATTACATCAAAGGTTTGTATTTAATTTGACACCACACACAGTGATATTTGGTCCCCAATTCGTGCCCATAAATCCAACAACAAAGTATCGAATAAAGAATATAGCGCTGTTCTTTTTGTTTTTGTTAAATAATGAATTTATTTTTTTTGTTTTTGATGAAACACTTATTGTTTGTTATAAACATTTGATCTCTAATTTTATAAAATAAAATTGAACTGCGAAAGAAACAATTTTTCCATAAGAGTTTAGAGAATTGAAATTATTTATAAATCTGGCGGGACGGCAAAAAAATAAATGGCAACACTGAATTTTATGTACATGCATATATGTTTGTATATATTTACATACATATGTAAACGCATATGTTTTGTTTATGGCAAAGGAAAAATCCAACACATATAGATATGCATTTAGATACATACATATTTCGAATGTAAATTGTCCTATGACTTTGGGTATATCTATATATATAAGTACGTAAGTACGTTATTTATGTACATGCACATACATATTTATTTATCTATTTATTTATTGTGCATACATATTTACTCACATACATATTCATAGACAGCTTAATTGTCTGTTGCTATGATCGTGCAAAAAGCAAGATGGTTATGAAATACCGATATGATATATGTCAATAAATCGAAAAAATATTTATCGTCGAAAATGTTGTTGTCAACGGGCAATCCATTTCAGAGGTGTGCAGAAACAAAAATTGATAACTTATTAGTAGTAGTTTGAGTTGTAGTTCATATGAAATAATGTTGTAGGAGATACATATGTATTTAGATAATTTATACTGTGCTAAAAGTAAATGTCAAATAAGGGCGTAAAGTTGAGAGGGGATGCAACGCACAGACGATTCTAAAATGGGCGAAGGAGTAGGAGCTGCAGTATAAATAGTACCGAACTAGAAATTCATAGGCCCTTTAAGCTACCAGATTATTATACCTAGTATCTGCGAGTATCAAGATGAGGTCTTTGTGATAAAGAAAACGACAGAGATGCTACATGAAATCATGTAGCCCGCGAAGCGAGCAGATAAACATAGATAGTCAGGCGGACATTAAGGCACTACTTTCATGAAGCACAAATTCCGATACCGTAGCGGACTGTAAGGAGGCAATAAGATAGCTCCCAGGTCACAAGGGAAGGTATTGAATGAGCTGACGAGCTAGCCACGAAACGCGTTCTCTTAGAAACCTCGTTAGTGAGTAATATACTAATCCCTTTCCAGGCGGATAGATCTTGGAAAAGAACCCAGTTTAGCAGACTTGCCCAATATTTTGTGTAGTTAATATGATGAGAAACACTATGGACGTTATTTAAATATTTTTGCAAACGTTGCATTTAAAATACATCACTGAGTCGCCAGTTGCAGTATAAGCCGATTTTATTGCCTTTATGTGAAAGCCAAAGGCTCAATATAGTTATTGGTCCAGTCTTACGATCCCAGCAGTACAATTTACTGAGAAAATATACTCCCTGATCTTTGTTTTCCGAATTCATAACACAAGGTAATATATTCAAAATAGAAACCAAGAAAGCTGAGGTCCCTATTTTTACAGCTGATTAAATTATTTATACTTTTTCTCACTGAGTTGAACTTAAAAACTATGTAATTGTTCGAATGCAATACTTATTTTAGCTTTTTACTAACAGTAAGTTATTAAATAGATGCAGTACACGGATCCCACGTAGTAAAAAATAAGAGAGAAAATTTACATATGAATTATATTTAGCAAGGAACTTGATTTAAGGGAAAAGTACTAAATAATTGGTAATAAAAATAGTAGATAGTAGAAAAAGTAGCTGAAAAAGTTAGAATAAAAAAGTAGCAGAAGTAAAAACACGTAGTAGAACGAAGTGAGAGCAAGCAGTAATAGCAAAAAATACTAGAAATATAAAGTAGAAAAAGGAGCAGAAAAAAATAGTAGAAAAGGGTATTTAAAATAAATAATTAGTTTAAAAACTTGATTTACTACTTACCAAAGATACATTTTTAGGTTGTACTCCTCTCAATGAATTACGCTCAGTGTTTTAGTATGTATGTAAGTACGTTCCTATCGATTTATATTCGTTTAATTTTCCAAAATCTCACAAATCACTTTTTCAAATATTTTTAATTTTTAACTAGAAACATTTCAGTTTTGTCTACTTGTTATCTGTGAACGATTGGAGTTATTTATTCTTCGATACCTATAACTGGCATTCAAATAAAGAAATACACACTTTTTTATTATCTCTCGGAACACATTGGTTGCTATATATGTATGTACATAAGTATGTAAATATATTTGTTTATTTATCAGTTCACACTTCCACAACACACACACGTGGCCCAAATCAATTATTTCAGCGCAGTTGAACCTAAAAAAAGCAAAAACAAAAGCTAGTATTACTTTTCCAAACTACATATGTACATATTTACAACAAAAAGTGAGTAAGTAGAGTTCGTTAAAGTTAATATAGCAACCAGAAATGCTAAAAGCTACAACAGCTGAAACTTTATCACAGCTTACTATGTATTTATATACATACATACATACATATGTACATTAGACTGCATCACTCCGCATACAAAAAATAAAAAAACGGCACTGCTTTTCCATTGGAATTATAAAATCTATTATATTTTAAGACGTCCACCAAAATATTTCGAAAAAATTTTAAGATTTACGTGAGCTGGATCGATTTGAAAATACCTCCAAAAATGGTGTTTGTTATAAATAAAAATAGTTTCTTAATAATGTTTTTGGAAAAAATCCCCTCAAATGACAAAATTTAAGTTTAAAAAATTTGCATAAAAATATTTTAAAAAAATTAAAAAAAAAAATTTTTGATGGAATCTTTTTTCAAAAAGTTCTTTAAGAAACTATTTTTATTCATAAAAAACTCCATTTTTGAAGGTATTTTCAAATCGGTCCAGCTCGCTTAAATCTTAACGTTTTGCCGAAATATTTTGGTGGACGTCTTAAAATATAATAAGATTTGTAATTCCGGTGGAAAAACCGCCACATTTTTGTTTTGATGCACTCTAATGTACATATGTACATACATATTTAATACCTTAGTATTAAACGTGATATTTGCTTATCTTATCTTACAATAGAATAGTACGAGTATAATGCGTAAGTAAGCACGCAACGGCGGCATAGCGAACTGGTGGCGCGCAGCAGCGGACCGGTGTTTGTACTGGACGCACAACCAAACTCACATACAATATGCACAAGGTCTAATATATACATACATATGTATCTACTAGTGTACGGCTAGCGAATGAGGGGCGCGTACGCGGCGTATCTTTTAGATACCAATTATCATTTTTATAATGCTACAAACGAAGAAAAGTGTTAGTGGCTGCAATAGAAAAAATAATAAATATACAAATACAAACGAAAAAGTTATAACACAAACAACGCGTCTTCGTATATTTCGAAATTTTGTCTGCCATACTCAACTCTTACTGGCATTTGTGACTTAACGTGAAGCTTGTTAGCGCGGTTTTTTTTTGTTGCTACAATGTTTTTTTTTTAATTTTAATTATTTGTTAGCATTGGTATTGGTGTATGTTTGTGTTCGCGCTCGTTTTATAGCTGCTGCTTTTACGCACTTAGCAGTGCGTCGACGCATACTTTAGAGGTTTTTTTTCTTATTTATATATTTTCTTATTTATTTATGGATTTTTTATTAGTTTCCCAACACTCTAATGTCTCTTTTAGCTGCTACTGTATATTGGCAATGCGTTTCAGCTGCTGTGGGAAAAGTGAAGAGATTGGAATGTTTTTTTATTTAAATATTTTATTGTTGTGTCTCTTTTAATTAATGATTTAATTTAGCGTGTGCTACTGTTTGTCTAATATCAATATTGCTACTGAAAAAATGAGAATTATGTTTTCTATTGTTTTTATTTTAATCAATGAACCAAAGGTGATTCCGTTTAGATATAAAACACGACAATACAGATTTTTTAAACTTTTCATGCGGGCCATAAAAGCCACATGTAGCAGAAAAAGTAGGCTAAATCTTATAATAAGTTACTTATTGTATTTATACACAAATAGTTTTGAGTTCCCATTCCTAATTCCTGCTTGGTAGCAGCCTTGCAGTTGAGATCCGGGTCATTTAGACCCGGTTTCTAGTACTTTATCAAAATAAACTCAAATACGTACATTCGGAATAGTTTTAATAGCGATATGCCCCATACTCTTTAGAATTAGAATAGAAAATACTTTGTTTAACCAGGCATGAGCAGCTCAAACCTATAAGCGAGCTGTAATATTGAGAACAAAATAGCATCCAAAAACAAAAATTTTTAATATTTTTTATGAATATATAGATTGAATATACAACCTTTTATCACTTTGAGATCTACACTAAACTAATACGCAGAGCAAATCTAAAGAGAAGGCCGTTTCCTGCGGAGTTTCGTTTTCATAATTTTATTTTATTTTTTTCTGGCGTGGGACCAATAGGTAAGTCGCATTAAAGACAGCGCTAAATCCTGCTCGTCAGTCCTCAGCTTTTCTAAGAGATCTGATGTTCTCACAACCCTGAAATGTTCTTAGATAATAAAGATTACTTTGAGGGTCTTATAGATAGAGTTTCACCCACGTGTTTTTTATTTATTTATTATTATTTTAATCCAAATGATTTCTGTTATGTTTGGGGTTTTCAGCAAGATTTTTCGCACAAAATGCTTATCAAAATACTTTTAATGCTTCACGCAGTCATTGTAATAACCTAAATGCGCAGCACAAGACCAGTAAAGTTTATAACGATACGGCACCGACTTCTAATTTTAGAAAAATTGTCTTGGAAGTAATAAGATATTCTTCCTTGTTCAAAGTATTTTATGGGTAGAAATCTATAGACAGGGCAAAAATCTTAGCATTTTTTAAAATAAAGTTTTCAGTTCGCCGAAAAACCTTAAATAGAGTTTTTTAATGTAAACGGCAACGCTGACAAATTAACAAAAACTGAACGTAGCAAAAAAAGCTATTTGAGAATAAACAAACATAGGAAGAACCTTTTTGGATAGAATTAGAAAAAAGTAGCTCAAATTGGCCCAAGTTGACTAAATCAGTTTTGATGCAAGTGTGTTTAGTTGAGTTCTTTTTTTTGCAATTCTGAAAGGAATTATGTTCATATAAATATAGTACGACACACCTATGTGTCAGCCAAAAATAAATGCTTAAATTAGTAATTTTCTTTAATCTGAGCAACATATTTTTTAGCGTATTTTTACATCTAAACGCCATTACGGCAGGTAAAAATTCATATGTTTCATTTATGCATGTATTGTATTATTCCGGGTGATAAAAAGCTAATATAAGTAATAGTTAATCACGACTGTTTGAGTACTTTTTGTGTTTTAAAAGCGGCTACTTTTTTTCAAGATACATACATACGTAATGCATATATTCTTAAGTAATGTATATTTAATTTATAACCAGGGAGCAGACTTCTAGGATATAAAAACCTATAAAAAAAGACAAAATAAAAAAGCGAAAATAGGCAAGAAAAAGGTATTTATTAAAAAAATATATATATTAAACTAAGTAGTCTCATCATATGAAACAATTTTAATTGGATTGAGTACTTTCTTCGTGGAAGTTTTAAACTCATAAGACTTTGCTCTCTATAGTTGTAGTAACACTAAACCACAAAATGCATCTTGAAGTTTCCGTGAAAGAAAAGCCTTAAATATACAAAAAGTGCGCGCAGCGGGATCAGATACAAGTGGTGACCAATTTAAATATTGAATATTGTAAACATCACAATTTTAATGAATAAAGGCCTCGCCCTCTGCAATTTTATAAAAAATGGCCAATGTCATTAAAAAGGCAAGTAAAGGCAACATTAAATGTGTATATTTGGAGTCAAGGAAAGATAAATGGAAGCTTATCTGCCTCTTAGCAGAACGAAAAAGGCAACTGCCATAAAACCCATTTCCTGTTTATAACGTTTCGAGTTTTCTTATGGTGATCTCGTTTCTACCAAAAAATGTTGCATTTTGAGTGGCCCTTTAACTTTTCGTGTTCGATTCTAAATTAAAGGCAAAGGTGGGAAAATTATGTGTTCGTTTCTTATAATGTCCCAAATTTTTGAAGTGAAACTTCTTTAGCGGTGGTTGGTGGGTTGGGAGTAAATTGGCAAATTTAACTGAAATTGTACACGGAAGTTGCACACAGAAATGGTTGGGACGGAAACAACTGCTTCTTAAATGTATGCACATTAGGGCGGTCCAAAATGCATGTGAAAAAGTAAAGTTAGAATTTTTATGCTCTCACCCCCTAGGATTTTTCTATTCCGTAAAAAAGTATACCCGTATTTTTTATTTTGAAATCAAAAAATATTTAGTGGTCACTCAAAGCATCCAAAGTTTTCCATGTATTTTATATGGGGCAAAAACAACTTTTGGTAGGAATGGTATAGAATTCTTAAGAATCAATATTTTTCCATCGGAAAACTCTAGTTTATCTGCAGGAGATTCCCAATAATGACACTCAAATTTTTATCTGTCCTCTTTTTTGAAGTGGGTTAAAATTGATTTTAAAAGCTTTATGAAGTGAGCTTTAAAAAACAAATTTTTGATTTATGAAATATAATTTATTGTTTATGAATAAGGGTGTTAGTTAATATATGTGTTTTCGAAAGTATTTCAACAAGGAAATTTAATTCATAATCTTATAACTCGATTTTATATATCGTGCACTTTCTTTAAAATTGTATTAATTCCCATTAAATTAATACAAATTATCAAATAGGTGGCAGCCCGCTACACAAATATTTTTCGCAAACCTCTTTAGTTTGGTACCCGTATTGTATTATTTAATTTTTTTTCATCAATTTAATTGTATACAGTTTTTCAAACAGGTGGCAACGCTCCGCAAAAAAATTGTTGACAGTAAAATTTCTAAAATCTCTTTAGTTTTATACCCACATAGCAATATTTAATTCATCTTATCAAGTAGATCAAATAAAAATTTTCAAACAGGTGGCAACTTTCTACAAAAATATTTATATATATGTATATTTGTAAGCCTTCTTAAACCTTTTTTTCTGACAGCCATATTGCGGTATTTACTTCATTTTTTGAGTTTATTTAAACTGAAATTTTCAAACAGGTGGCAACTATCTAATTATTATTTGTTCCTATATTTTAAGTTAGACCTTCGAAAATTCGAAAAAATATTGCTTTGGCTTCTGTTGCTCCAATAAAGACCATATTAATTTTTGTTTAATATCTATAATGTACAGATATCGGCCTGTCTTAATTTTATTATATGTACAGACTTTTTTAACTTTTCATTTATGTTGAAGTTAAATATTTCTTAAATTTTTTACCATATGTACATATTACGTTTCTATACCGACCCACAACTTTATACAAAACGAGATAACTCGATACTTTTTCCCCCGAAAACACATTTTTTTTTAATATGTTTCTATTCGTAAAAATGTACTCACTTTTTTCCAAACTTTTAACAAGTTACATACCTATAGATACCTATTTAATATACATAAAAACTTTCAACTTCACAGTATGCAAAGAAAAATTCTTGTCACATTTAGTTTTTATTTTATTTGATTTTATTTTATTTTATCTTATTTCTGTTGCGAATTTTCGTCTATTATGTAATTTCATTGCAATTTTGCGTTTTAAATGAAAAATTGTTTTCTTAGTAACACTTGGTAATGTTAGTTTGTTTTTGCTCAGAATTTTTGTAAAAAAATTTGCTTTATAAATTTCTGCACTTCGTTACTCGCACTTGCAATAACTTATTTACATATTTTATTTATTTCTCACGTCATTTGTATTACCTTATATAAAAACGTTTGTCAATATATTAAATATTTTACATGCATATATGCACTCATGTGTATATTCACTAAACGAATATGTAGTTCGCGTTCGAAAATCATAAATTACACAAAAATATGTTCCGCTATTCACTAACAAAAAATAACTTAACTCCTATTCGGACGTTTTCACGCGCTCGCAATTGAAGAAAGACTGAATCGCTAGCAGACGCAGACGAAAAAGTTAACGCTTGGCGCTTTGTGGGGCTTATGCTGTCGCTGTCGCTGTCGCCGGTGCTGCTGCCACCGGCAATCGCCCGCCTGCCTTTGCTTACGTCGTCGCTTGCTGCCGCATATCGCCGCTTGATCAGAGGCCGACCGGCAAACGTGACGATCGCAAAACCGGCTAAATAGAACAAAACAATAAGCTGCTTGCGAACGTTTGCCCAGCCAAAGCAGCTGGCCGAAAAATCGACAATCGACGACAGACAGACGAAGGCAAATTTTGCAGTCAAGTTTTTTTTTGTGCTCTGTCGACGCTGTTGTCGCTGCCGCAGTCGCCGTTTACGTCGTTGTCGTCGCTTTTTGCCACCTTGTCGTCTTTGATGGGCAGCCGGCAAAAAATGCGATCAGAATGCGATCACTTGTTGCTGTTCTGTAGTTACTTTTGTTGTTGCTGCTGCTGGTATTTGAGAAAAAAGTCACATGGAATCAGTGTTGCCCTAGTAAAATTTTTTTTCCTACCAAAACTTCCAACCAAAATCCCCCAAAACCTACCAATCATTTTTTTGAGATTTAAATATATTTTTTTTCAATGTTCAATGTCTCCAAAGGGTATCGGTCTACGATTCATGTTTCGGGAGCAGGTACATAGAATATACTCAGGGGTTTCCTCCACCAGCCCTCAAAACCTACAGTCCAGAAAGCACCATTTGATTCAAATGTTACCTAAACATGCAGTGTGCTGCCACGTAGCCAGTAATAGTTCCAAGAACAAGGAGTTCCTCCTGAGAGGAGTTATGAATCTCTTTGGTTGTCTTATTACCTTTTCCTTTCGCGAGTGGGCAGTAATCTGAGATTATTTTTAGGTCCTAAATAGTTCTGCAGTCTATCTTTTAGATGTAGCGCAAATGGCTCGGGACCCTGCAAACGCATTTCGGTTCCACGCTTTGCGAGACAGTCAGACCTTTCGTTGGCTTCAAATCCTTCATGTCCCGGAACCCACCTCAGCGTTACGCTGTTGTTGGCTTCCAGGTGGTCTAAGAGTCCACAAGCATTGAAGCAGTTTTAAAAGAGTCTAAGACACAATATATATATTCTCGCCCCATATGTCCTTCTACGAAGATATTCGCGAACACAAACTTTCATTTGCAAAGGCCTGCCCCAGGAATATGGCTGGATACGAGCCCATTGGCAGACTTTTATGGAATCTTGGATAATACACGGACTTACGAATCAGGTATATATACATGTTTGTCGTCGCCGTTATACGAATGCACCGGTGAAATATTCGTGTAAACAGGGTTGCTAAATGTTAAGAGATACATATTTTCTATTTTTCGCAAATAACTATTACTCATTGTCGTAAAGGCTCCAAAATCCAATCTCCTACCAAAACGGAAAAAAGCCTAACAGTTTTGGGAGGAAATGCTCATGTATGGCAACACTGCATAAATTGGGCTTTAGTTCTCTAATTGGGGTTTCGCCACTCTCTTACTCAAATGACTTCAATCTCTTATCAGGCGTGCTCTGTCAATCTCTTATGTCCGCACTTATAAAGCTTTTGCTTTGTAAAGGTACATATTCAGTCAAGGGAAAACAACAATTTTTTGAGCTTGAAACCGAGTTTTTTTTGATGAACATTTTGTGGAAAACAACATTAATTTACATTTTTGTATAAGTTATAGCTGCTATTTTGGAAAACAAAAATTATTGAAATACTTCTACGTTCAATCACATATTAACTTTTGATATGTGCATATAAAACATGTTACATCAAAAATGGGAATTTGAAAATTTCATTTATTCATTTTCGGCATTCAGTATGCAAAGAAAAAAATTTGCTAATTTCTAATTAAAAAATAAAAAATAATAATAATAGCCAAACCAGAGAAAAAACTACCAAACAACCTAATTAGAAAAAAATAAAAGAAAAAAAACAACCACGTTTGGTTGGAAACCAATAGTGGCTACCGTGCTGGTAGTTGCCGTTGAGCGTTTTCTCACATATACCTACATAAGTATGTTCATCTGATCAAGCGCAAAGCTATGCCCACTATTCACTGTATTCGAATTGCTCTATTTCTGCATTTGAGTGGAATTATTTAAGCTTGATGAGTGGAATCGTGCGATGTTTTCGTAATATTGGAAGATCAATTTGAAAGAAGCTTTTTAAAGAAGCTTTTACGTACAGAGTAAAGTCTTAGTAAGCTAATACAAATATCAGACTCAAACTAAAATTGTATTGAAAATCTATATAATGAAAATTATGGAAGCTCTCTATCAACCTACGTTTGGTCTCTAAGGAAAATGTACCTTTTTCAGGCATCATTATCGGCTATTATTATTATTAGATTATCTACTCCATCGTGTAGAGATCTTCTATGATACTCCAACGGAAAACAGGCCCTAGGGATCTCTTCAGGGCTAGAGTGGTCTGAACAAGAATGAAGAGAATGGAAATTCCTTTGAATACCTGCTCTTGGTTGACAGGTCGCTCTCCAAGGTCGAAAACCAAGACAGTGTCTGATTGAAACTTATACGGCGAGAAATAGTGTCGTACCGGCAAAGCTAACTTTTAAATATTTTCTATCACATGTTTTAAAGAACCCTCAGGAGCTTTCCTAAGCTAATTATTTACAGTCCAAATGTGGCCCGTTTCTGTGCTCGCCGCATTACTGTCTACTGCCAGCCCAAAAAAAATTACAAAAGTGGCGAAAATATAAAGCCATTGATCGATTTTATTAAGACTTCATACAAGAGATTTAGAAAATTCAAAAAGGGAGGTTTTGGCGTTGCTGATTAGGAATCTGAAGTTAGTTTTGGAAAATATAAAATCGACGACCTTATACGGCGGACAAATATAAAAAAATGTTATGAGAGCACTGCCAAATTCAATCACACTTCGGTAAATATATTTTGATTACGAATCTACTAATTATAGAAAATTGTTTGAGTGCAGTAACCATCAAAAACGAAATTTATTCTAGTGGATGATGTGGAAATTACAAATAAAGTAGAAGAAATATGAAGTACTTCAAAAATATACACAAAATAATATAAAAAATTGAATATTTTCAAAAAAAAAAAACAAAATTACAAAGTTACCCAAGTAACAAAATAAGCTTATTTTTTATAACATGTGGTCATTACAGAAAAATACATTAAACGAGATATTTTTTTACTTCAAAATTTCAAAATTACTTGGCTTTACATCTCAAAGTGGGAGAATTTTCACCTGAAGATTGTATGAGAGTTAAAAGCTCTCTTACGTCAGGTATTAAAAAAAAAATTATATTTTGTTTAGTGCATTTGTCCGCCATATTGGATTCATTTTTTTGCATTTTTTGAAACTAATACTAATAAAAGTTGCATCTAACTACTTGTAAGCGTAGAAGTTAGTTTTAGGGTACAATGACCTGAATTTAAAAGTCAACATTCATTTGAAGAAAAATAACTACCTTTATAATTCAAATAACATAATATTTTCTATAAAGAGATGAAACGTGATTTTCAAAGATATAGTATTTTCCAGTAATGACATAATTAACCCAAGGACAGATACCCAACATTTACAACCAGAATGCACACCCGGACACATTTGTACCTCAGAAAGATTTTTTTTCCTTTTCTTATATTTTTTAAAGAAATGTTAAACTTTTTAGCACACTGTTGGTAGTTTAGATGTAATTGAGTAGTTTAGCGATAAGATGGATAGATATAACTTACCAGATGCAATAATTAATGCGCATTTAATGCTCCTGCCTACACGTTAGAAGAAGATCCGATTTAAAAATTAAAAAATTAAGAAGTCTAAGTTTGGACGAAGCCGTAGATTAAATATCCGGCGCGCGTACCAAATATAATTTTTTCACCTTTCTGAAAACAACTCTTACATGGTAGCAGGAGCGTTTTTAATCCTATTTAGTACATAGTATTTACACAGAGCTCCAGCTCTGAAAGCAGCACGCAACGCGTGTCTCGATGCTCATAACAGAGGAGGGCCTCCTCTGCGTTGGATTTTACAGCACTTAGTATTTCCAATTGGCATCAGAAGAACAAGTGTGAAATTATACGGAAAAATGTCTCCCATTAGATTTATACTCGTGAACAATAGTGATGGACATGGCCACTGAGTCAGTAAAAAGTGCATCCAAGAAATAAAGAACTGCATAAATACATACATTCATACAATTCATGAGTCATCGTATATCAATTTCAAGTAGCCATTTATTATAGATTCCCATCTAGATAAGAGTACTTCCGCATGCGTACAAGTATTTTTCGCTATCAACAACACATGCAAACAATTCAGTCATAATATATACATAAATGTAGATATATATACATTAACGTGGTCCAAAAAACTTTCCGAGACAGGGTTCGGTGCACCTTCGAAAATGTTTTCACTTGTCGAAAGAGCTGCTGGCAACAAACTTAAACTTTCGAAGTATAATTTAAGAGGATGCTCGTGTAATGTTAACAATGTTAAACAATTGGTTAAGCAACCTTATAACACGACAAATTTAAATTAGCTGGAAAAATATTACAAACTACAGTTGTCATGGCAACAGTAGCTTAAAAAAAGTACAACCAATGCTTTTGTCAGTTGCTAAGGGATGCAGTTTCGAATTTCAAAATCATTGAGCATCCTCTATTGGTTACAGTAGAATACTGAAAATTTGTAGATATAAATACCAAAAGGAAAACTGAGGGGGCCCCGTTTTCTATGATGCCATTTTTTCCCATACAAAACTTGGACCAGTCTCATGTACATATGTACATTACGATGGTCCTTAAAAAAATCAAATAAGCGATTTTTTTCAGTCTCACCCCTTCAATTGGTAACACCACTATAAAGTTCAGATTCCTTTATGGAGACTCAAAAAATTTAAATTAATTTTGTTTTCATCTAAACGCAAAATCAATACCAACACAGTCAAAGATATCACGTATAAATTTTGATCCCGATTGGAGTCGATTAAGGCGTATCGCAAAGAGGTCGAAGGTCATCTGCCTCTAAGGACTCAAGAATTAAAAATTTGTTTTTCCATTTAATGCCCAAAATCGATACTACTAAAGTCGAGGATATCACATATAAATTTTAGTCCCGATTGAAGTCGGCTAAGACCCCTGTGCGACACGCCTTAAC